GTTAGTCTGGAAGCTCTACTGAAAAGTGTTCAGCATCATAGCAACTTGAAAGCTCCTGACAAACTACCCTCAAGGTTCATTGGCTGGTAATTGAACTTGGGTCTCTCACTTGGCAGGTGAGAAATCTACCACTGAACCATTGCTGCTCTTTGCACATATCCATATTTAAACATGTCCATATTTTCTATTTGAAACTGCTAGAGCAGATTATTAAAATGTATTTCTCTGTGAGCTTCTTTTAAAGGTTAAAGTAATAGTTCCTTTTATACAGGGAGCTTAGGTTAGGCTCTAACATTGATGGGTAGGGTGACAATCACTAGCAGCATTATCTTTGAGAGTCCCCTGGGAAAGCATCTAGTTAAGGAGCTGTGTGCCTCCTTTCATGGAATCCCACCCAGCCAGCCTTCCACAGATGGCGGTTTCTACTATTGAGCTTCAGATGATGGAGTTGGCTATATTGGGGGCCACATTTGGTGGTGGTTCAGATCTTTGACCAGAATCTCACCAGTGTGGGGAGTTGCTCACAGTATCATTGAAGTGTATTTGAGGGTTTCAAGATCCAAAACCAAGAGAAGGAAGAACAGACCAATCTCATTTGGGGGCATAAACTAACTCAATGATTCTCCAACTTTAGTCACTCATAGGATCATCTGGTGAGTGCAGATTACTGGGCTCACCCACTACCATTTGTGATTCAGTTGGTTTGGGATGCATTCAGATAATTTGTAGTTCTAGCAAGTTCTTAGGTGTTCCTAACGCTCCTAGCATGGACCCTCACGATGAGACCCACTGACCTAATTGAATGGAAGCAGGTGAGATCACTTGCCCATTTCCCCTTTACTGTTTCTTGTACTCTTACTTTTCAGCCAAATGGACATGGTTGACTTAGTATAAGTAAGTCAGTGCTATGGGCTAGCCCCTTCCGTATCCCATTGTTTAGCTCAATACTTGGTCTAGACCCTAGATGTTTGCTCAATGAGTGGTTGGTTAAACTAACCATATATAACTAGAGTATAGATTACATGGAGATCATTATTATATACCTTCTCTATGCAAGGTACTTGTTTTCCTGAAAGGTAGGTAGTTTTTACATAAGACTGGGTTATATATTAGGGCTATAAACAGTGGTTAGCATAGACATCAAGAGGTATTCACTTGGAAGGCATTTTGAGAATCTTGCCCTTTGAGACCTGCGGTATGAAGGCGCAGTGTGTGTGGACCCACGTGCACAGGGAGTAGCGCCCGTTTTTGAATGGCCTCGGCAAGTCTTTCAGGGTTTTGGTTTAGGGCAGAACCAACACCTGCTCGCAGAGTGTGGAGCAGCACTAGGTTGGCCGATGTCTGCTCTAGACCAGCTGAAGAATTCAGCCCCCATGACCCCACGCAGTGGTGCTCTGTACCGCGGGGTAACTCATCCATGTCGCAGGATTTGATGATTGGGTTTTCAATGATGAGTTTACTAAGGAGAGAGTAAGCAACTCCCTAATCTAAAATGAGCCTAATTTAAGCTTAAAATGATTATGTGATTATTATTATTTTTAATCATTTTATTGGGGGCTTGTACAACTCTTTTAAAAAATCATTTTATTGGGGGCTCGTACAACTCATCACAATCCATCCATCCATCCATTGTGTCAAACACATTTGTACATTTGTTGCCATCATCATTCTCAAAACATTTGCTTTCTACTTGAGCCCTTGGTATCAACTCCTCATTTTTCCCCTCCTTCCCCCACCCACCCTCCCTCATGAACCTTTGATAATTTATAAATTATTATTTTGTCATGTCTTATACTGTCCAATGTCTCCCCTCACCCACTTTTCTGTTGTCCGTTCCCCAGGGAGAGGGTTATATGTAGATCACTGTGTGATCGGTTCCCCCTTTCCACCCTACCTTCCCCTTACCCTCCTGATATCGCTACTCTCTTTACTGGTCCTGAGCGGTTTATCTGTCTTGGATTCCCTGTGTTTCCAGCTCTTATCTGTATCAGTGTACAGTCTCTGGTCTAGCTGGATTTGTGGATTTGTATGGTAGAATTGGAATCATGATATTGGGAAGGGGGAGGAAACATTAAAGAACTAGAGGAAAGTTTTATGTTTCATTGGTGCTATACTGCATCTATGATTATTTTTTTACACGTGCATAATATCCAGCCTTTCAAACTCTCACTATCTTGTGTGTTTTTTATCTTCATATAGGTTAAATTCTGCTTCTTTTAAATTCACTTTAAATTTTTAATTTTCTTAGTGTGGTAAATGTATATTAACAAAACAGTAGCTGTTTAAACTTTTTTGTACATGTACAATTAGGTAGATTAATTATATTCATCATGATATAGTCATTACTGCTATCTGTCTCCAAACTTTTCTATTACCCTTAACTTCCCTTTTTAATGTTTGCTTTCAAGTATATTACAGACAGCCTGACATTCTACCACTGACTCCTTCAATAGCCAAAACTACACCTAAGAAAATGAACAATAAATCTTTAGGATTATCTAATGTGCAGTCCATATTAAATGAATCCAATTGTCCCCACATTGCCACTTATATCTTCTTTGCTCTAACCAGAATTCAACCCAGGATCATGAATTTCCTCTGGTTATATCTTTAAGATGGATTGAATTGAATGAACTCCCCTCCGCCCCCCATGCCATTAGCTTGCCATTGTCTTGTACAATAGTGCAGTTTTGGGATTTGTCAAGTTGTCTATTTCGAGTGTCTTCAACAAGTTCTTCTGCCCTCTGTATTTTCTGGGCATTAGAAATTAGATATAAAGACTGAACTAGACATAAATCGAATATTTTGGGCAGGAATACATTATATGTGATGTATGCCTTAGGTGCCACATGAAGAAGTAACTGATTCCGATCATTAGTGATGCTGACATTGGTTGCAAGATGTAGATGATGAAAGATTGATCCTTCCACTGTAAAGTTACATTTTCCCATTGTAATAAGAAAGCATTATGTGTTTTGTAGAATATCCTTTTTTTTCCATAGTGCATTTGTATTACTTTGGTACCATTGCTGTTGTTCGGTGCCATTGAGTTGGTTCTGACACATAGCGATCCTATGTGTCGCAGAAGGAAACACCACCCAGGCCTGTACCATCCTCACAGGATGTTTGAGCCTTTTGTCGTTGCAGCCACTGTCAACCATCTTGTCAAGGACCCTCCCCTTTTTGGCTGCCTCTCCACTTTGCAAGCATGATGTCTTTCTCCGGACTGATCCCTCCTGATAATATGTCTAACATTCGTGATACAAAGACTCACCATCCTTGCCTTTAAGGAGCATTCTGCCTGCACTTCTTCCAAGACAGATCTGTTGGTTCTTTGGCAGTCTGTGGTTCCTTCAGTATCCTTCATCAGCACCATCATCCTAATGTGTTGGTTCTTCTTCAGTCTTTCTTAGTCAGTGTCCAACTTTCTCGTGCATACGGGGATTAAAAATACCATAGCTTGGGCCAGGTGTACCTTGGTCCTCAAAGTGTGACCTCCTTGCTTTTCAACATTTTGAAGCGGTCTTGTGCAGCAGGTTACTCAATGCAATGTGTCCTTGGATCTTTTGACTGCTGCTTCCATGAGCACTGATGTCTATTTCCCTACCACCCTTTCTCCTCCTGCTTTTAACAACTGTTGGTATTTTTGTCCAAATCAATAACTTCATTGAGCATTTCCAGACTATCATTTTTCTAGCTCTGTCATTCTTAATTTATTAGCTGGTATTCAAGTAAACAACTCTGCTCTGAATCAGCTGAAACTATTTTTTTGTTTGTTTCTCATTTCTGGTTTTATTTTAATTTTTAAAAAATTTTAATTGTTTTATTAGGGGCTCATGCAACTCTTATCACAATCCATACATACATCAATTGTGTAGAGCACATTTGTACATTCATTGCCCTCATCATTTTCAAAACTCAACTGAAAGTATTTTAACACCCTAAAATACAGTTCTCTTAGGAAGGCAAGTTACGTGTTGAGTTCGTTGCCGTTTCATTTTCTACTTTCAGAGTAGGGGCTTGATTTAATAACCACCTTAAACGGTGGGAAAAGTGATTTTTGCCTGCTTTCTTTTACTGGATATAATGAGGATAATAGTCTTTCCTAAGTTGAATGTTTAAAGCAGCAGTAACCATTATTCTTTTTATGCTCAAATGGTTAAAAATACCCAGTGATAGTTCCTGAAAGTACTCCAATGTCAGTTAGACAGAATCCCATTAAAAGACGCGCATCTCCTTGGTTCCTAGAGAGGAGACTCATCGCGCAGCTTCTTTGTCCTGCATGACAATCAGCCATGGCACTTGGAAGTCTCGGTGGGAACTAGAGACCACGGTTGCCGGCACTTGGAATGTCTGTTGTTATGAGGCAAGGTGTCAAGCCTTTGCCGTGTTCTCCTTCGTTCTAGACTTTTGATATCGCACATTGGGATAATCAAAGTACAAACAGGATACCTTTATTTTTAAAAAGACTGGGTCCACATTGTTGTTGCCCATTCATTGTAAACATGCTCCCAACCCCCACTGCTCTTGAATAAATTCTGATCCATAGCAACCCTATAAATCAGAGCAGAATGGTAACTCCTGGGTTTCCAACTCTTTAAACAATCTTTAAGAAGCAGAGTAGCTGGTGGGTTAAAACTGACGTTGCAGTTAGCACCTCAGTATGTAAACCACTACATCACCAGACCTCCTTAATTTCCGTGTGACTGTGTTTTAAAATAGCGACTTTGATTTTATAATTGTCTCTTCTCCTACCTTGATAATCTTGAAATCCAGTAACAAAAGCATCATCACCTCTTTGCTTTATCTTTCTTATAGAATATTAAAAAGTTATAAAATAACAATAGGACTATTACTCCTAACAACAAAACCAAATGAAATTTAAAGATTTTGTTGTTATTATTTTTGTACAGTAGGTTGATTTTGATGGAAGAATTAATCTAATTACTTGATACTGATTTCACTTAATTGGTTTTAATGTTGTTTTGTTTTTGCCATAGGTTGATCATTTTGGATTTGATATTAATAAAAAATTTAAACAGCGGTACCTAATAGCTGATAAACACTGGAAGAAACAGGGTGGAGCAATACTTTTCTACACTGGTAATGAAGGGGACATTATCTGGTTTTGCAATAATACGGTATGTACAAATTTGTGGATAATGTGTGAAAGTTTTCCTCTGCTGAAACAATTTGCTTTTTAATATAAGCAACTAAAAAATTTGATGAGGGCAACAGGTGTACATATATGCTTGACTCAATGGATGTATGTATGGACTGTGATAAGAATTGTATGAGCCCTCAATAAAATAATAAAAAAAAAAGAATAATGAGGGTAACAAATGTACAAATGTGCTTTATACAATTGATGTATGTATGGATTGTGATGAGTTGTATGAGCCCCCAATAAAATGACTTAAAAAAATTCGAAGTGTATATGACCAAGGATTACTCTACATAATTGTGAAATTATTTACATAAAAGAGTAAAAAGGGAAACACACTAGTAATAGAAAAACTATAATCCCATTCATAAAAGAATAATACAGATGCCCAGTGAACCTGCATTTTCAGATTTAAAGTATACACATTAAAAAAATGAAACATTATTCTGTACGATCAAATTTTAATATATTTTTGTTAATTTTGGGTGTGAACAAGGATGTAGAGGAATGCTATTTATAAGTAAAAATTATAAACCGCTAAATGCTAATGACCTAGGAGTGATCAAGTAAAGGAAGATGCAGTCACACAATGTAATTTCCACTCATATTATTATTTTGGACTAAGGGACCTCAACTTTGAATGAAGAGCTGTTTGAAGGAGGGAAGGACTTGTGCAGGTTCGTCTCGCAGCAGTACTTTCCAGTGCTTTTTCCTGCTTGCTTTCTCCCCCAAGATGCTCGTGTCATTAGGCATGTGTGTTAGGCCGGGTTGACTAGAGAAACAAATTCAGTGACACTCGTATATGTGTAAGAAAGAGTTTTATATCTAAAAGGAATTGTATGTCAGGAAAACATCCCAGCTCAGTCCAACTCAAGTCCTTACGTCCGAAGCGAGTCCATAAGTCCCTCTTCAGGCTCACACAGTCAGGTGCGATGATGCAGAACACAGGAAGATCACAGGCCAGTTGGCGAAAAGGTTTGTGGATCCAACGGCGGGGAAGCATCACAGGGCTGGCTCAGGTGTCAGCGTGGCTCCTCAACCGGAAGGTGAAGGCACAGAGAGAGTGGGGAGGTTCCCAGGAGGAGGTTCCTCCTTATAAGAAGACCATGCCCAGAAGGAGGCACCATCAAGTTGTGACCCGACCCACAGGCTAGACTCCACCCCTTCACTTTTATATCTTCCAGTTGACACGAAATTATGAAACTATGACTGCATGCATGCGGTGGGCTCAGGCATGTGTGATTCCGATAGAGCTCTTTCTTCCTTTCACAAAGACCACTGCTATAGAAGGATACATTCCTGGCATGGAGAAATAGTCACAATAGATCCAAAATTATGTTACAAATGCATATTTTGTTCTGTTTTTACAAATTCTGGATCTCACCACCCCATTATCATCAGTTGGGACAATAGGATCCCAATTTCATAATAGCAAAACAAACAAAAACTACTGCCCACGTCTTCCCATTTTTACGGGAAAGACGGCTAGGTCACATGACTTAATGTGAGCCCTCGTCATCTTGTGATAGGATTATGGGTGATTCTGTTTTCACCCATTTGGGTTTTCTGAAGTTTCTATTGAAAGTACATGTTTTTAATTTCTTCTCTGAATGCCACATTTAAAATGGAGCCCTTTATATATTTCCTGTCTCCTCGTATTTTTCTGCATACCACATATGACTTAAAATTCCATTTATTTGTTTAATTATTTTGTTTATGGTTTGTTTTGTCTATGGTATGTAAAACTACACAAGGGCTTAGATTTTTGTATTTGCTTAGTGTTTTATTCACACAATCCAGGACTATACTAGGCATATAACAGGTGCTCAAGAAATATTTGCTAGGTGATTGTGTGAATCAAGCCTAAATGAAGCCAATGTAAAACAAGAAGGGGTGGGGGAGATTACAAATTTGACAAGCATGTAGTAAAAGGGAAAAGGCAAAAATGTCGCTATATTTTTAATTTAGCTTTCCTGTTCTACCAGTTTTTTAAATATTTGTAAGAGTAAAAAGTAATATTGCTTTTAGCTCATTTTCTGTTTCAGCTTTTTCATTTGTCAAATGGGCATAGTAACATTTAATTTCATACAGTTAATAAATTTAAAAAAGGAACTTGGAACAGTGCTGTCACATAATGTTAGATGTTAATATGATATTATATGAACTTTTTGGGGACAATAAATATATCCCTGAGATAGATGGAAGGAGTGAGCCATTCAGAGTCGGGGAAACTTAAACTGAGTGATAGAGGATATGTGGACAAAGGGTAGTGAGTGAGTAGATCCTTATAAGAGAAAGTAGGGTTATTGAATCATCAGAGATACCAGGTTAAATTCTCCATTCTCACATGCACATAGGTCTTCCACCTGTTCATTTGTTTATCACTACAAACAGATGTTCAGACGTTCTTAGTTCTTAGAGAGTAATAACTTATTAAAAAACAGCAATAGTTGGTACTGGGTTGGTAAATAGATGTAATCTTTTGTGCTAAAATTAAAAAAAAACAAAAAACCTCACCTTTTTATTGTGAATTAGGTGAAGCTTTACAGAGTACATTGGTTTTACGCTGAACAGCATGTACACATTTTGTTTCAACTCCTCCACTGCAATCCCTTCATGTGCTTTTACTTATTCCACTTCCGTTCTGTTTCCTCTTTCAAACTCTCCTTATTTCCTAACCTTCTGTAGATTGCCCTTGGGTAAATGCTGCCCTTTTGATCCTAAATTTAAAAAATGAAGCCAAACCTTTTGCTCCAGTTACTTCTGACCTATGGAGACCCTGCAGTGCGAGTAGAACTGCTCTCAGAGGGTTTCCAAGGCTGTATATCTTTGTGGATGCAAACGGCCACCCACGTCCTCTTCCTCAAAGGCGGGGAATGAGTGGTGGCAAGCTGACATGTCAGTTAGTTGAGCACTTACCCTTGAGCCACGAGGACTCATCATGCTGAATTTAAATCTAAGCAATTGATGATGACTGCCTAGATTGCTGGTTGAGAAGGATTTTGAAGTCGCAGTTGAGGACAGTTAAAAAAAAAGTAAATAAAAAGCAGTGAGGGATGAATGACCAACTTCAGATACAGAATAAGGAGGTATAATCAAAGTGCCTGTGTCTAAGATTGTTTGTTGTGAGAATTAAGTGAATTTTTATATATAGAGAGAACAGGGCCTGACACAATGTAAACACTCAAGATTAGCTATTTTTAGTTGTGATTTGTTAAAAATAGTGTAGATTCCTCTCCCTCCCCCCTAACACACACACACACACACACACACACACACACACACACACACACACACCAGGAGTCCAGTGTGCTTATTTGCCCTGTTTTCTCTTTTATGTGGTAAATGCCTGTGAGTAACAGGATAGCTTATACATCCTGAGCTACTTCCCAGAGTACATAGTTGACATACAGCATGAGGGAATATGAAGAGTATTGTTGGCATAATGTCGTTTCTAGGACTTGAATGTCCTCCCTACCTAGCATGCCAGGAGTAAGATAACTGGAGTAACTGGTAGATGAACAACCTGGGCTTATTTCCATTGTTTCACTCTAATACGTTATGAGCTGATACACAACAATGAAATAGCAAACATAAATTGTACTCCTTGGAGGTCCCTCTTTGGGGTCGTTTAGCACCTCTTTCAATATGGTTCCCCAAACAGGTTCAGTGACCTTTTTCACATCCTGACTGTGAATTTGTGAAATTCCCCAGGGGTTCATGTGGGATGTGGCGGAGGAAATGAATGCCATGTTGGTGTTTGCTGAACATCGATACTATGGAGAGTCCCTTCCCTTCGGTTCCAGATCATTCCAAGTAAGTGCGCTTTTTCTTTTCCGTAAGCTTAAAAGTTTTCTCGAAGGATATAGAACGTTTTCTAATTACATTCCTCATCCTGAGAAAGAAATGATAGCTTTAACTTGTTGTGCCTACACTCTCAGTCAGTTGAGCATACTCTGATTTTTTTTAAAATAAAAGGTTTATTAGCACTTATTCCACATATCATACAATTCAAAAGTCCAATCCTATCAAGAAGAGCTGTACAATCATTATTACCACAATCAAGCTTAGAGCATTTTCTTTTTCCTTGTACTCAGTGTTATTAGTGTAATTATTATTTTTTTAATTGTGGCAAAAATAAACACAACAAAATATTTTCCCATTCAACAACTTCTACACGTATAATTCAGTGTCATTGATTATATTCTTCATGTTGTGCAGCCTTTTCCAAACTATTCCACTACCATTAACATAAACTCAATATCCCCCAGGCAAAATCTCTTCTTCCATCACCCATGGTAACCATTGGGCAACTTCGGTTTGTTTTGTTTTCTCTTTTCTCTTTTGCTTTTATATGCAATTAAAAAAGGTTGAGCATTTGGAAACTATATTATTGTCATCTATGGTAAATCACTTCTTAAGATAAAGTTAAAGGCAATGAAGTCCCTGAGATTTTGGGGCCAGGGCATGGCACCCCGTCAGACTCCACTGGAAAGCACTCATAAAGGTCAACAAACAGACCTGGAACTATTTATAGGCTTTTCTTGGTTGTTGTTATTGTTTTGTTTTTGTACTTATTATTGTTTTTGCATGTCTGTCTAGATAAGATAGGCGTGATAAACAATCCAGAGGAGAAAACAAAGGTACCTACTGTTCTGGGGGGACAAAGGAGAGAGGGAGGTGGAGGAAAGGCAGGGGGGTGCCAACAAATCCAGGACAAGTGAACAATAACAAATGATCTAAAATCAATGGCGAGGAGGGCGTAGGATACCTGGTGGGGTTTGATCAAATGCATTGTAACTGAGAGGAATTACTGAAACTTGAATGAAGGTCAAAGATTATAGTGGGACAAGAGGAAAGTAAAAGTAAATAGAGGAAAGAACTAGAAGGCAAAAGACATTTATAGAGGTCTAAATACAGTCATGTACATATGTAAATATATATATATAGAACTATAGGGAAATAGATCTATGTAAAATATTGATATGTTAAGTATTAAGGTAACAGCTGGACATTGGGCCTCTACTTAAGTATTCCCTCAATGCAAGAACACTTTGTTCTAATAACCCAGCATTCTGTGATGCTCACTGTCCCTGACAAGATCACTGAAGACAAAATGGGTGCATAAGCAAATGTGGTGAAGAAAGCTGATGGTGCTTGGCTATCAAAAGATTTAGCGTCTGGGGTCTTATAGGCTTAAAGGTAAACAAGTGGCAAGCCCACATGGAAGATCCATACCAGTCTGTGTGATCATGAGGTGTCGATGGGCTCAGGTATTAGGCATCAAAGACCCAGAGCAAAAAAATCATATCAATGTGAATGAGGGGGAGGGCAGAGTGGAGACCCAAAGCCCATCTGTAGACAATTGGA